AAAGCATCCGACTGGAGCATGTCGAAAGGCCGCCACACGCACGAGGCCTCCCCTCTCCCTCCCCTCCTACGTCGGCGGGCCGAAAAGTTGTGGATCTGCGGCCCTTCATCGCGGGACGCCGGATTTGACTTTTCCGGTCGCCAAGCGATGGAATGGTCTGGGAGCATCTCCCGCAGCCCCGGCAAGGTCGCATCGCTGCATGCAGGTACGGGTTCGTCCTCCCGCCGGCGCCGCTGATGATCTGTGGCTCGCCGGTGCCGCTCATACAGTGCGACGATTGCACGCAGACAGTGCTGCGGCTAACTTCGGGCACACCGAAGCACCCCGGATGGGTGTTCTTCAAATGCGAAAACGATGGGGTACGTGCTGTTTTCGTTCGGATCATTTTGATAGCTCATTCTTTGGTTCAATTGTGGCAGCTCATGTCGAACATCATCATGTGTGTAGGAAGATGGATGCTCATTTTGATTTTGGGAAGACAATACATTGATTTATTGATATGAAGAAACTTAATAGATGTTGACGCACTCCTTAGAAGAATCGAAGGCAATGATGCGGCTGCATGTGCAACTAGAGGGGAAGCAACATCTACTTCTTTCGAACCAAAGATGAAGAAAGAATAATGCAAAATCAAGAATCCACAGATCAACAACGAATGCATGGAGAAAATATTAGTCCAACTAGTGGGAGCAGTTATAGAAGTTGAAAATCTTCTAAAATGCAAACTTGTGGTTCTTGTTTTCTTTAGTCTTACTATTCTAGCAAAGATTTGGTGATGTCTTATGTGTCCAATGTTGTTGAAAAAGTAAAGAAATACATTATGTTGGATCAAATTAAGGTGTAAATTTAGGTTTTCCGGACCGGGAGGAGCTGCGCCAGATCAGACCCCGCAAAGCCGACCCGTAAAAGAGCATATTCCGTGAATATCCTTTTTTTACAGGTCCGTTATGCGGGGTCTGCATCTGCGGCCGTCCGCGCCGGCCCGCAAAGTTGTTTTTCCACGAACTGCAAATGCGTTTTGCGGGCCAGTCAGATGCAGGGTCTGCTAGAGATGCTCTAAATATAGATATAGATTGCTTACGTAGTGTATCGTTCTGAAATCATTTTAGCTAGGAATCTAAATGTCATTGTTGGGTGTCATTCTCAGTCACCATCAAATGTACCAGAGACTAATTATTTTCCACGGAACGCCTTGACTCGAGCACTCATCAATTGTAGAGAAACTATCTGACGTCGGCCACCACCAACTAATTATGCGCTTGTTTCTAGCACCAATTTAGGAGAGGCTTGATCAGGACAAGAAACCAGTCACCACCTTTTTTTTGGATAAAGAAATCAGTCACCATCAACCATGATTGACTTAGTATTGTTAGCGTACGTCGTATTCTTGAAACTCCTGTTCATGATGCCATTTGCTATGATCTGTCGTTTTTGAAGTGTGAAATGGCCAGAAACCTGAAAGTGACAAGTAGCTGTTATTGACATTGCATTGTTTAACACAAATGATCTTACTTTTTAATTAAGCGGAGAGCTTACACCAGAATAAGAAAACCCGCAAAAAAAAAACTGTAACAATTTTGACAAATGAAGAATGTTGGTGCAACCCTAAAAAAAACGTTGGTGCATGAGGCCCGACGAGAACTTTGACAAATTACAGTGGTTGGGGCGCCACCCGGTGGGCATTTTCTAATGTGTATTTTGTAAACGGGCGCCGCATTGGGCCGGGCCGGCCCAACTAGTTTTCAGTTTGTGTTTAAAGAGACAAAAATTCATGACTTATATGCCTGCTCCAGGATTCGAACCCGCGACGCTGAGGTTCCATCCAACTCGCAACAACCACCCGTCACGCTTCACCACTGTAAAATTATTGATATTCTTTCTTTTTTGTTCTTTCGTCTTCCTTTTCCTGTCATTTTTTTTTTATTTTTTTAACTAGACAATTGCCCATACGTTGCAACGGGAGTATAAACATTCTAGTAGATTAGCCCCTGACTGCAAGTCTATTATTGTATTATTGTTTTTGAGAATCCACGTATATTATTATATTGATACGCTAATATCTTACCAAATCTTTGTATGCAATCGCCATGATTTATCTGGCATTTTATTGCTAAGCAATTATTTGGTAAAAATTTAATGAGTTGCCAACAAAATATGTATTTATTTTGGTAAGTTAATAAACATGAGACAATTGAAATGATGGGAGAAAAATCAAATATGGGAGGAAAAAATCAAAAAGGATAAGAAAAGAGTGGGACGTATATATGAAAGGTTGGACGAAAGAGAGGTGAAATGGGAACCTTACGTTCTTTTTAAGTAGTAGAGATTATGTGAGAAATATTTAGCAGATTTATATGAATGTTTTTTTCAATTCAATGAATTTTTTTCGAAATCATTGAAATTATTTTCAAATTCGATGAACTCTTTTTGAATTCAATGAACTTTTATCGAAATCAATGAACTCTTTTCAAAATCCAATGAACTTTTTATCTAAATCAATGAACTTTTTTCAAAATTCATGAACTTTTATGAAAATCGATGAACTTTTTCAATTTCCTTGAACTAAATTGAATTTCGTAAAATTTTTCGATCCGTGAACTTTTTAAAATTTTGTTAACTTTTCTGAAATTAATGGACCTTTTCAAATTTATGAACTTTTTCTGAACTAGTGAACTTTTTTCAATTTTCATGATTTTTTTAATATCTGAACCATTACTTTTTGAAACAATTTCATGAACTTTTTTTTAATCTAGGAACTTCTAAATTTTGGACCAGCGCGGCTGTAATTGTACTTAAATAACACACGGTACCATTGGTTAGTATTATGAGGTGGCTGTACTGGTTAGTGAAGCGCGTGTAGGATGAAGCGGCGCGAGTTCGAATCCCTAACAGAACTAACATTTTTCCTATCTATAGAACGGCCCAGCGCGGGGCACTGCAGGCACCAGGAGCGCGAACGGGCGCCTGCAGCGTCGTATAGGAGCTCCCAGCTCCTCCTGAAAGGGAGCCGGGCGGTGCCTGATTTGCTGCCGCCCAATCAACAGACTTGTAAGTTCATCGCAGATTAATATCTTTTAAAAAAGCAAGCATACTTTGTGCACATGTATGGAGGACATTAGGTATGTGTGACCCCTCCCCTCCCCTCCGCTGCTCCCCGCACGGGTGGCCTGTGCGTGCGCCGGTGGCGGCGGAGGCACTCCTCCTTCTCGCGGGTCAAAGGGTGACACGGGGCTCCCTGGCTCGAGGGTGTGATCCCGATCTGGGCTGCGGCGGCGCCGATCTGGTTCATGACGGCTCAGATCTAGACTTTGGCGGTGTGACGGTTGGCTGGTGTCCTATCGCCGGTTGTGGTGGTAGTACTAGCGCTGCTCCTCCCGATCTAGAATGGAGGGCCTTGGATCCGGGGCGGCGGCCCCGAGGTGGGCCTCCCAGTTCGGTGGCGCGGCAGGACGGGCGAGCTGTCGGGGACCGGGTTGGATGGCTGGCGATGTGCATGTCCTTTTTGAAGGCCGGCTCATGTGCCGGCTGCTGGCTTTGTTGCCGGTGTGAAGACTGTAGGCCGCCGGCTGTGTTGCCGACATGAACTAGTGCAAACCATGACCGGGGCCGAACATCTATTTTGTTCACGTTTGCATGCACGGGCAGGAGATGCGTCCGCGCATTGAGCATGTTTTCAACGCAAACCCCAATCCGAGCGAACACGGCCCCATCCTCATCCCTAAACGGATAAAATCCTGACAAAACGGACATCCATTTGGAGCCGTGTGTTGAATTTGGCCTTAGGAGATGACCCCATCAGCCGAGATAGTGGCCGGTCATGTTGCAGATGAAGTAGTAGTCCCCCGTCGTGGCGAGGTCGATGACGTCGCGGCCCGGTGCCCACTTGCGCAGGAACGGCACCAGCGTCCCCAGCCACGGAGACGAGTTGTCCTCGAGCGCCTCTGCCACTGTGGCCGCGCGCGGGTACTCCCGCAGAGAACGTATCCTGTGCAACCACGAGACTGGTGTAACGAGTGCCCCGACCGATTCTGAGCCACTTTAAGGTTAAATCTGCAAAAGTACCAGCAGCTCCCCTCGCAGATGCATATTGTCCCTTGGTTCCGCATCCAGTGGCGCAGAATCTCTCGGAGCACTCGTTACACCAGTCTCGTCGTTGTACATGATACGTTCTCCTAGTTCTGCACTGAAGCCAAACAATCGTTGCACCTCTACCAACGGGGGAGTTGCGGGAGTAGAGAACGTATCCTGTGCAACGACGAGACTGGTGTAACGAGTGCTCCGAGAGATTCTGCGTCACTGGATGCGGAACCAAGGGACAGTATGCATCTGCGAGGGGAGCTGCTGGTACTTTTGCAGATTTAACCTTAAAGTGGCTCAGAATTCTGTACTCGTCCTCTCTCTCATCGTCTCCCTCCCTCTGCCTTCTCTTCTCTCCCGTGCCGCTGTAATCCATGGGAGCAGGTGGGAGCTAGGGTTGGAAAAATGTGCCCGGTGTCATCTCTCTCTCCTCCCTCTCATGTACCTGGGTAAGGATCTACGGCATAGAAGCTTAATCTCGCCCTGTGTTCCTCTAAATCGACTGTGCGCGTTGATTTATTTGGCAGCGATGGCTCGTCGATGTCCGATGTCGTCGTCCGGGGCGTCGATTCTATAGAGGTACATGAGTTGACGGTCTTCCGCGATTCAACTATGTATGTTCTCTTCTTCCCTTATCCATGAGTATAACTGTTCTTTCAATCTAATCGTATTTTCCCCCAATTCATATTTATAAACGTTTCCACATGGTAGTTAGTACTTTTGTATGAAGAAATCACAGTCATCGGTTCGAGCTCAGTGGTAGCAGGCGGAACACAGATAGGTGTGCTACTGCTTGCTGGTTGCTCAAATTTGTTGTCAGTTTAGGGCCATCAGTTCCTCAAATCTAGTTGGATCTTATTGTTCCTATTACCACATGTTTTTATGTGAATATTCATTGGCGTGCTCGTGAAATTTTTCGATCACATTTGCCTCTGGTTCTTGTGTGCGAAAATTATGTGCACACTCATTCCTTTCTTTCGTTCACGCCCACAACTCTGCACTAACCATGACATTGGTGTGTTTCTTGCAGAATGGGGCGATTGCTTCATCATTAGATAAAAGAAATAGCACACCCTGCCAACAGGACGATAAGACCGAATCTTCCAGAGCTATGCTCTGGTAATGTGGTACTTCTACAAGTGAAACATCAGCAGAATAGCCAAATCAAATTTGCTGAACATATCTTTCACTGCTGCAAGCTTTGCTTTGTTCTACTGCAGTTAATTCCCCAGAAGAAAAATTGTTTAACGAGTTTTAGGATCTGCTTCATAGTTCATACATACTAGACTTACTAGAACAATTTTTTATGTGATCGAGCTGTGTCATTTGTTTTATTTGCCGCACCTCTGTACTTTACATCATTTTTCCTTCTGTTTATGCCTACACGAACCAACTGCAACTTGTTTTTAGCTTTGGTTAATTCTAGCCTATGCCATCCTTTCCCAGCTTAAATCCAACATTTACAAATCCAATCCCATTAAGTATTAATGTATTATTCCTTACGAGTACTCCCTTGGTAGTTGGTACTTTTTGTCTCTGAAATTCTATTGATGATCATTTTTACTTTTGCATGCAGGACTATGCTCCTTATGAAATTATCTGAAATTCAGGCTTGAATACTATGTTATGATGCATAATCATCTAATCATCTCAACACTTGGCTTCATCCTTCTGGGGGTATGACTACTATTCGATTATCCATGCACTATGTTTCTTTCCTTTTGTCAATTTCCCCCAATTGCAGCTTTTATTGGACTAGTAATTAGGTAAAGAGATGTGCTTGTTGTTCCCATCCTTGATTTGTAAAGAGTATCTATATGTCCTGTAAGCTTTAAAGTAAGTTTTGTGCACGAATGTTATGACTTGCATGTGAAAGAATGGTTAACAAGGAGTTAGCGGACGTGCCTGGAGATAGATTATATCTACTGTGTTTTCTTCTGGTTCACTTTGTTGATCTTAAAATTAAACTGCACTTGATATCCAATTGAATTTTCTCATAGCATTACTAGTTCATCTTATTCATGCTTTTTTTTCTTGTTGCAATCCATGTTCTAACAACGCTTTTAGAATCAACAATATTGATCTAGCGTACATGTCCTGGAGTCATCTTACCAATTCCTGATACATGTACTTGTAGTACCGTGTGAACTGTAATTGTAGATATTGATTGGAGTAGATGATTCTTAACAGGATGTGCAAACGAGTTTGAGGCCCTGTGTCATCCAGAAGGAACCATGTTGTGATTTCCCATCTGCGCTAATGCTCGATCTTTCAAGTGTGACTGTTGGACGGCATTTATTTTGGCTGATGATTCTGCTTGTACTTTGGCCAACCTGTGGTTATCACTATTTTTTCCAACTGTTTCTGAACTAAGTCTGATGCTTGCGCCTGTGCTTGCATCCCAGAAATTACACTGTTTGAGCAATTGTGGTTTTATTCTACATATATGTACACATTGTTTCCAAATGTGTATATGACAGTGGCCATGTCAATTTTTTTGGAGCTTTTACTATCATATCCTAATTTCAGTAAACTCAGTGAAACTACTTCATTACATCTTGAAGCCTTGGTGCAACTTCTCCAGAGAGTATGACACTACATATGAATTGTAAATACTCATACAAAAGCGGCTCTTAATTCTGTCATATAAATAATCATATCTGGGAAATGTCATTCTTTTCCACAGAACAACCATACTGCAGATTCCTGGATTCACAATAATAGTTAAAGCGTCCCTTGCAAAAGAAAGAGAAACAACAACTGCAGATTTATATAACTCCTGTCCACTCTTTCTATTCACCTGAAAAATGAGTCGATCCGTCCCGACTTGAGGTGCTTCCTTTGACGGGATCCAAGCAGCTCATAAACATTCTCGGTTTTGAGCCTGTGACTTATGTAAATGATGTTCATCTACTATGGAATGAAAGATGGCAACCATACTACTTTAGTGGGGTTGCAAAGGGTACAGACAAAAAAAGTGGTTTGGGATGATATACACAGGAGGGATGATGTAGAGTGGCCCAGGAGAGGGGAAGAGAGGCAACGGAGAGAATCCCCCTAACTCTAGGACGTAGCTGACGGCATGGTACAGACGAGAACGCAGACTACAGAGAGAGTAGAACAGAAAGGAAAGAGACGAGAGGTGTGTTGAGGACTATTTAGACTTCAATGATTCTGCAAGGCCCAAGATGTAAAACGTACCAGCACCCCTTCGCGTGATAAATCTGTGCCATCAGTTTTCCATCCAATGGCGCAGAATCGGTCGAAGCACTCGTTACACCAGTCTCGTGGTTGCACAGGATACGTTCTCGCAGAACTAGTACTAGAGGTTGATCGTTTTCTCACGCGATTCTCACAAAGTGCAGAAGTGGTACTAGTGCAGGCGCCGGCCTTCTGTTCAGTGCAATACTAGTACAAGAATGAAATGAATTTGATTAAAAAAAATTACTCCGCTAAATTTAGGAGATCGATTAGGTCCGAACAACTATTTAAAACCTGCAAAATTTCCAAAATTTTAATTTTATTAACTAAACACTAGGAACTACTCCTATTTCACAAATCACAATTAAAATACATATCCCAACTATTTTAGAAACTAGTGGAGTAAATTTACTTCACTAAGCTTTACTCAGCCGGATACTTCACTATTTTATAAGGGATCGGTTAAAAATGCCCTCATACCTCTTGCCGCTGTAGCCACCGGTGATTGAAGCAAATGAATTTTAGGACTGTAAAAATCTCTGGGAGTGACTTCACTGATTTCTCCAAGACTCCAACCTATACATAGTGAAGAAAAGTGGAGACGTGCTCCTCCCATTCAATCAAACGACCCACTTCTTTTTTATCTGGATGGTGGAGATATGGTCTGATACCATACAACTATATTGGTAGTTCGATCCCCTTCAACCATCGGTAGGATATTAAATGATATCGACACAAATTAACAGAACTATGGTTTTTATTGGCTACATCCATTGTACAAAACACATTACATTTGTAACATATAGAGAAGAAGTTGTGCACTTCATTTATTGTTTGGAACTTGCGCACTATAGAACATTTAAATTAAAACAACGTTCATGTAATGGGAAAACTATCTAGGCGTCACCGTAGATATAGTGACATCATTAACACTACAAGACTTAGTAGTAGTGGGTGCTTCTTTGTTCCCTGCCGTGCTTAAGCTGAAATATGCCGGGTGCTTAGGCTTTTGTAAGATCATGGTCTTGTTGCTTAGCATCGCAATTACATCCAACATGGTCGGTCGATCAACAGCGTTCTCTTGTACACACAACAGTGCAATGTTAATGCACCTCATCATTTCTGTTGAATGAATGTTGGGAACCAATGCTGCATCAATGAGTTCGCTCCAGCTTTCCTCTTGAAATAATTGCCAAGCCTATTTGAAATTTCATCAAATACTTAGTTTATCACAGAATAAACAAAAGCTTTTTATCCAGTTAAATGGATGTGTAAACATCCACTCACATGTCCAAGGAGGTTGATGAAAGCTCCACATTCATGGGAATTCCTCTTCCCGCTAACGATCTCGAGAGTTAAAACACCAAAGCTGAATACATCCGATTTGATAGAGAAAATGCCATGGGAAGCATACTCAGGTGCCATGTAGCCACTAAAACAGTGTAATAATATATGTCAAATTGCTGTACGGGTGGCTTGCAATAAAAATGTTTATGAGTGGAGTATTCATATGAAACTTACTATGTACCAACCACTTTTCTCGTAGTATTTGTGTCGGCATTATTTGAGCTGAATATTTTTGCTAATCCAAAATCTGATATTTTAGCATTCATTTCGCTATCCAAGAGAATGTTGCTTGGTTTAAGATCACGATGTATAACACGCAACCTAGAGTGCTTATGTAGGTAAAGAAGTCCTTCTGCTGTTCCTACAATTATCGTGATACGTTTGTCCCAATCCAATAGAGCTTTTCTATCTTCATCTGCACACAAATTAAATGTTGGTATAAGAGAGCAAAAACATCTAAAGAAACATTCAAAGGAAGAGAACTTTAGTTTGAGTAACTTTCCAGGTACCAGTATGACAAACAATGTAACTTATGAATCTGAAAATGCAAATATGTACCAAAGATAAAGAAGTCCAAGCTTTTGTTTGGCAAGTATTCATAGACCAGTATCTTCTCCTCTCCTTGAGAGCAGCATCCCATGAGCCTAACCAAGTTCCTGTGTTGCAGTTTGGCTATGAGCTCAACTTCATTTTTGAACTCTATGAAACCTTGTCCTGAATCCGCATCAAGTCTCTTAACTGCTATCTCCACTCCATCAGGAAAGCGGCCCTAGGAAAAAAAAACATCTATCAGTATTGTGAGGGCTTTATGAATGATAATATTCTTCCTCTGATCCATTGTGTTTTTAATTCCTATATATACTCTCACAATAATGGTGATGCATGTTGTCTTGCCTAGAAAACAAGGATTATTACGTAACGTTGTTATATATATTTACCTTATAAACAGGGCCAAATCCACCTTCACCAAGTTTGTTTTCCTCGGAAAAGTTACCAGTAGCCTCTAATATCTGATTAAAGTCAAATACTGCAAACTCAGACAGCTCTGCTTCCATTTCCCAAACTTCATCTCCTTCTTGAAACTCGTGAGCACGTTTTCCTCGTAAGGCCCCTTTACCTGAAAATTATGAATATCAATCTCTTCAATTACCACTCTTTATATTGATCATTTCAGTCATTAATTTACCCACCTTTTGTGTTCTTTGTTCTAAGCCGCCGAAGACAGCAGACGATGAAACAGAGTGCAACTAGTGCCACAGAAGCAGCCACCGATAAGGCAATTACCCAAGGTTTTACTCCATGTCCTTCAAAATTAGCACCAGTGTCAAGAAATTATCATAAGTTATAGTAATATAACTACTTAATCAAGGATTGTTCATCACATACTCTTGCCTGCGGGAGCCGGAGCCGGCGCCGGTGCCTGAGCCAGGGACGATGGAGATGGAATCGGCCGTATGTTCTTGTCGTCGAAGAACATGAAGGCCTCGAACCTGACGTTGCAGCGGAGCCGGAAGATCCGGCCACCGAGGCGCACGGAGTTGGTGGCGTTGATAGAGCCCACGAGCCGCTGGAGGCACGCCAGGCAGTCGCCGGCGGACAGGTCCGGAGTGCACTGCGCCAGGGAGTAGAGCGTTGTCGTGGTGCCGGGGCCAATGGAGTCCATGAACCCTGTGGCGAACCTCCTGGCTGCGGCGGCCGCGTACTGCGCCGTCTGCCCCAGGAGCTGGCGGACGGCGGCAGCGACGACGGCGGCGTTGCCGGGGATGGAAGTCACCGTGTTGAAATACTGGAAGAATGTACCGTTACCGGTGGTGCCTGACGCGGCGCTGAGGAAGTCGCGGTCGCCGGAGAAGCCGAGGAGGCACCCTGGTTTTAAGGCGTTGGTCTCGTCGTAGTCGTAGTAGACGGTGGCGGCCGTGTGGTTGGGGCACCTCTTCTGCGCGTAGCTAAAGGAGGAGGCGACGCACTCCCTGCACGCGGTGAGGTTGGCGGTGTCGTGTCGGCAGAGCGCGAGCGCGCGCACCACGCCGGCAGTGGAGTTGGCCGTGGCGTTTGCAGTAGCGGTGAGGAAGAGCTGCGGGGAGGAGGAGGTGTTTGCGGGGAGGGTGGCGTTGAGCACGGCCAGGTTGGAATGGTAGGTGCTGTTGGCCGTGTAGTTGCCGCCGCTGCCGCAGACGATCCCGATCGCCGACGCCGACGCCGGCATGAGGAGGAGGAGGAGCAGCAGCACGCCCGCCATGCTGACCGGACGTACGTGTGAGGTGTGACTCCAGGTGCTGCTTGTCTTAATTGCCTCTGCTTCTCGTTGCTTTAACATGGCAAAATGTAGAGAAAGTCAAGGTCATCAGGTCGTTGGTGGAAAAAAAAAATCTGCAGTGTTTGAAGGATCGACCTCGGCGTCACCCAGTTAATTTCTCGACTTCAGATTTGTTCACATCACTACCTCACTCACAGTCACAGCGCAAGTCACACGCTTTCAGTCTACCAGATCCGGGCCGGCAGGAGTAGAATTTTCTTCTTCTAATAAACAGTCTTTTGCTCGGTTTTATAAATAAACAGGGCATCTCCAACGCTGACTCGTTCACAAACGTCACATGTCCACGTGTTTGGACATAGTTTGTCATTCAACATGAATCCTTATCTGTTTGTGGACATGTTCGTGCGTCAATTTTCCCGCCAACAAGACGGAAGCAGGGGAAGGTATGCGGGCATCTGGACCGCCACTATGTACACGCCCGACACCCTGGCCCCATCAAAAACCCTTTTCGCCCGAAAAACCCTCTCCGCGTGCAGCGGTTACGACACATTCATGTAGGTCAGCCTGCTTCAGAACGGACGCGACTCCATCGCATTGATGTCAGGCGGAGGGATGCGACCAGACGAGCGGATGTCACCGCTTCAATGTCGACGCGGAGATCGAGAAGCCTACTCTGGCTGGTGCGCCGCATAGAAGTCGGTTGCGCGGCGGTTCGCCTAGCCGCGGCTATTTAAGTACGGCTTCAGCGCGGTTCACACCACACCTTACATTCTGACCTCTCTGTCATGCCCCGATCCCCTCTTCATCGTCCCTTATCACGCGTAGATTGCGCCGCCTCAATGGCGATCTCATCATGATTCAGGAGGAGTGGTCTCTACGCGACACCGCCGGCAAGGGCAAGTGCACCCTCCCCCCCCCC